GAACAAGCTTGAATACGATTCACCAATAGGAGTGAACTGATTCTTTCTGAAAGGCTCTCTTGGGCGAGGATTGTATTGGGGATCATTTGGTTGAGGATTATATGGAGCTTGGTAAGGATGGGCATTTCTAAGAGGTGGAGCTCGGTTTTGTGTATAATGTTGTGGCTGCGCGTAAGATTGTGCGCTCATCACCGCATAGGGAGGCGATGCCATGACATAAGCATCACCTTGAAGGGGATAATAGTGTGGTGGGACCATAGGAGGCATATATGATTGGCTGAATGACCTGCGGGCCCCCTCGAGCTTGAAACCATCATGGCTCCTTCTTCTATCCCGTTTCCATTTATCAAATTCTCTAAACCATTTTGAACATCTGGTGATGTGGCTTTAAAAGCAACATGACTCAATATTCGACCCGTTTTTAGCCCATTTTCTACCATCTCCCCAATTTTGATGGCCTCAGCAAACGGCTTTCCCATGGCTAACATCATGTTCTGGAAGTAGTCCGCCTCTTGGGCCTGTAGAAAGACCGTGACCATTTTAATTTCATCCATTGAAGGCTTTACCTTGGCAGCTTGCTCACGCCATTTGACAGCATATTTGTGGAAGCTTTCCGTGATTTTCTTTTTCAAATTGGACAAAGAGTTTCTTTCGGGAGTGATTTCCACATTATACTGGAACTGGCGGACAAAATCTCGGGCCATATCATCCCACACGTGCCAATAGGTAATTTCTTGATCCGTATACCACTCAGAAGCGATTCCGGTGAGGCTTTCCCCAAAATAGGCCATTAGCAGCTCCTCTTTCCCACGAGTGCCTCTCAACTGGTTACAGTATCGTTTCAAGTGAGCGACTGGGTCTCCATGACCGTCGTACTTTTCAAATTTTGGCATCTTGAAGCCAGCTGGCAAGTGGACATGGGAAAACACATAGAGGTCAGAGTATGAGACACTCTTTCGGCCACTCAGACCTTGCATGTTTTTCAGGCTTTGTTCTAGGCTCTTCATCTTCCGAGCCATCTCCTCTTGCTTGGGATTTTTAACAACCTTTTCTTGCTCCCTCGAGAGATCATATTGCGGAGGTTGAATGAAAGAGTACGGGGTCATATATGTTATTTTTTATTGAAGTTGTGGACCCTGAAAGGTGAACATTGGAGGCTCAACATACGGCCGTGGTAAAGTTGGTTGTGTTCTGGTGCCGACTGGTGCTGTAGAGAACAATATTGGAGGTGCCCAGGAAACTGGCTCCTGAGGGCGAACCACAGAATGCATGCCAGGATCATTGAATGACATTGGAGGGTGCCCGCATGGGATGAGCAGGTTGCGCACAAGGGCGTTGGTAACCTCACTTGACCTGGGGATTAACTCAGGGAACCCATAGATTGCACTTGGCGGTACCCTACCATTAGACCAGGCATCCCACATTTCCAATATGCGGAGACACAACATCTTATTCTCTTCAGCAGCTGCTGATTCTAGCTGCAGAATAGCCGATGCCGGGCTATTTTCAGGACGGATGATTGGTAGATTGCTTGCGGAGGCCATCTGTGCCTTTGGATCTTGCGAAGGAGGGGAGGCTAGACTACCAACAAAACCAACCACAAAAACCTGGCCAGTTTGCACACCCAACAACCTTGTTAGTTTTGAGACGCTTAACAGATAGGAAATCGCACGTTTGGATGCAATGCACCTAAACAGTTAAATGTTTCTACCATGTGTTTGAACGGTTGCATGTTTCATCCCGGCCTTAGTTAACCCTTTCAGTATGTACCCCTTTTCTTCATTTCTGCCTTTCTTTAATCACTCTTGATTTTTTCCATCTCGCTTTTGTTGCTCTTTTATTTTTGGCACTCTCTTTTTCTCTTTTGTTTGTCACTCTTTTATTTCTTGTCGCTCTCTTTTTTTTTTCTTTTTTTTCACTCTTTTCTTTCTTTTTCACTCAATTTTTTCAGTTTATTTTATCACTCAACTAATTTTATAGCTATGATTGAATCCGATGGGGATTGCCTACGTATCATGACGCCGCATGAATCAGATCTTGCGTAGTTCGGGAAGATCGAAAATGGAGTAAATAAACTAACTTTTTTTGGTTGGAATTTTTGAAAGAAATGTTTTAAAAGAAGAAGGAAATATTTTTTTTTTGGATTTTTGATTTTGATTGATTTTTTGTTTATTGAAAGAAAGACTTCTAAAATTCCTTTTCTTTTGATTGGAACTTTGGAAATTTTAAAAGTAAAAAGAAAATATTTTTGTTTGAATTTTCATTTGTTTTCTCTATTTCTAAAGAAGAAAGAAAATATTTTTGGATTTTGGATGTTGCCTCTTCATTTTCGAAAGAGGGACTTTTAAGAAAATATTTTGAATTTTTGAGCTTTTATTTATTTACAAAAGTACTTCTAAAGAAAAGCAAAAAAATTTTGGACTTCAAATTTTCAATTTTTTTTTCTTTTTTTGAAATAAAGATTTTTAAATAAGGAAATAATTTTTTTTCATTCATGTTTTTGAATTTTTTGAGAAAAATACTTCAAAATAAAGGAAACCCGTATTTTGGATTTTGATTGATTTTTTCTTTTTTCATATGAAAGATTTCAGAAAGAAGGAAACTATTTTTTTGAGTTTAAAATATTTTTTTTTTGAATTTTCTAAGGAAATGCTTCTAAGGAAGGAATTAAAGGAAATTATTTTTTGGATTTTTTTTAAAAAAATTGGGGCTGGAACCGATGAGGTTTGCCTACGTATCTCACATCCGATGAGAATCAAACCCGCGTAGTTCGGTCAGTTTTGACGGAACAAGGGAAACATGGCACTTGAAATTTGGCTCATTTTGAAATGATTTTTCTTTTTTCAGAATTTCGGCAAAGTTTCAGAATTTTCTAAATACCTACCTCTCACTTGTTTTTTGATTTTCTTTTTTTTTTCTCTTTTGATTTTCTTTCCCTATTCTAAAAGCCGGTCAACATGCAAGCCGAAACAAACAGATGCGCAAGTAGCATGTAAGATACATCAGGATGATCTTTTTAATTTGGGTACACCTGTCTTAGACGGACCAACTCCTGTGTTGAGTCCCCAAAGTCAAATGCACGTGATGCAAACAAACGTTCCTACTGGGGATACGACATGGGGTTATGTTATTCTAGGTTTAAAAACCTGGGTGTATTGTTCTAAACCTGGCTTACCCAAGGGGACAGCTCGAGCTGGGGGGAGGGGGGCAGCGTACCAGGAATACATAAGCTTTACCGGCTTTGCAACTTGTCCGAACCTCGTTCTAAAATTGGGATATGACTCTAATAGAAAAGAAGTTATACGAAGTGCACACTTCCCAGATGATTTAGATGACTTAGAGAGAAGAGGAGTTCGTAACAATTTATACGCAGTTCAATCAATATCAAATCGGTAAAAAGCGACATTTAGCACATTAGGCTCAAACATGTAAAAATCAGATAAAAACAAGCCAACTATAACAGTTATTCTAAGCTCGAATTCTTGAACCCTGAACTAGAGATTCTGGGTTATGATCCCCAGCAGAGTCGCCAGAGCTGTCACACCTCCTTTTTATACCCCGAGATGGTATATAGGGGAGTTTTTCCAATTAAAGTGACATTATTCGAGATGAGATTATTTTATTTAATTTTATCAGAGTCGCCACTTGGAATAGTTATTTTGGTGTCCCAAGTCACCAGTTTATTTTAAATCCCAAATTGAGAAAATTTTGACTTTATTTTAAAAGTCTGCGAACCAGAAATTCTAAGTAAGGAATTATGTTAACCCGGGAGAAGGTGTTAGGCATTCCCGGGTTCCGTGGTTCTAGCACGGTTGCTTAAACTATTAATATTGGCCTATTATCTGATTTACTACATGTTTTAAACCTATTGTGTATTTTTGAACTTTATAACCGCTTTTAATTATTTTAAAACACTTTTAGGCAGATTCAATGCTATTTAAAACACGTCTTAAACCATGCTACATGAAATGCACCTGCGGTTCACGACACGTTCTATTTAACATTGTTGAGAATTAAAATTGGGTCACATGAAATGTACACCCGGATTTTATAATTAAAAATCACAACTATGTTACGGGAACCATACCCGTAGCTATGATGAATTATTTAAATAACGCGCCTAAAACAACTACGAGAGTTTAAATCAACAACATTTATGAGGGCCATGGAAAGTTTAATTGATGGCACACCTCAATTTTTACAAGGACTGAATTAATTTCATAAGGGCCAAGGGGTTTTGTTTGGCATGGCACACCTTAATTGATTTCAAAGGGTTTTATTATTTGAAGTTGTTATAATCGGGTCATATGAAATGCACCCCTGAATTTGGGAATTAGGTATTAAGACTATGTAACGGGAATCGTACCCATAGTCACGATGATTTGTGGTTATATATCTATGTGATGAGTTAGACAGTTGTTGCAGATTTAAAGAATGGGTAGAGTTTATTCTATTAACAAATTAAGTTTTACATGAGATAATTCATAATTTAATGCAATACTAGAATAGACAAAGGTTCTGACTTTGGAATTTCATCGCCACTAGTCAGAAAAAGATATTTTTCATGTGTGTTTCAAGTGCCAAATGCACATTACTATCATGAAAATAAAAGCCATGGCAGTAGGCACCCATGCTCCTTCCAAAAACTTAATCAAAGAAGCAGAGAAATATAAAGCCTCAATTGTCCCAAAGAAGATCACAAAGCAAATTGTGAGGGGAACACTCTGGTGCCAGCACAAAACAATTACTAGTGACATCAAGCAAGTGGTGACCAACATGACAATTATGATAGCTAAACCTGATGCGAAGGGAAATTTTTAGGGATAAGGGATATATTAGACCACTTCATAAACAAGTGAAAAACAGAATTTCTAAACAAACGAGTATATGCATGCACAAGAGATAGAGAATCCATAGCAAAATTAAACATGAAAACCAGTCCAAATGATTTCAACCAAAAAGAATTTTTCTATCCTTTTTGAACATGATTAAAGCCATACCTGCAGCGTTTCCCATCCTTCTGGTGTCTCTGAAACCAATAGTAACATCCAAACATAGTAGCATTAAGGTCCAGTTAATCTCTGGGATGTAAATCTGACCATGTATTGTTGATGACGTATGCAGTATTTTGACTCTCGAGAAGCATCCCAGTGTAGAGAATTGTTTAATAATTGAAAAGGTTCCAGTAATAATGGCTTGGCTCCCCACTACTGCAGCCAGTACAACAATCACCAGAACCGACCATCTTAATTTTTCAGGTATTGAAACGTAGAAGCAAATCTGATAGTCACTCTCCATTACATGATGTCACGATAGATAAGCAGCTTTCCCCATATACACAAGAATAAGTGATGGATAAACTATGGAAGTAAAAGCAATCTTTATTGACAACTGGGAGAAGTGTCCGAGATCAGCAAACATTGCTTCTGAACCTCGTGAGCCAAAATCTTTTTAATAGCGAAGAAAAAATCCAAAGGTACATCAGCACTTGACAATGGCGAAACCAACAAAATTTACCCAAATAGAGCTTAAAACGTGAAAATGGAGCCCAACTACTTTGCAACAGCAACAACAGTGAGTTTCAACTTTAGGCGATCGCTCCTCCCTCGTTTTCAGCGAGTTCGCCAGCGATGGAGTTTTTAGGACTGGTTTTGGTCAGCTTTCATGGTGATTAGCGAAGAAGACGAAAGCAGAAAAGGGAAGGAGAAATGGCTACTGTTCTTGTTCTTTTGAAGAAGGAGTCCGATTATTATCTCCCTTTTTGGTGAAGAACGAAGCGCCGTTTGCTCTCTAAGGGAAGGGTCTATGATCTGATGTGTATATAATCGGATGCTTGATTTTTAGGTCTTAGCTTCTTTTATCAGATAAGGGTAAAGGGAAATGGGCTTGGGTTGAAGGATTGGACTTGGGTTAATTAATCGAGGTCAATTTGAGGATTGGCCCAATTTTGAAAAAACAAGACCAAACATTTTTTCCTATTTTCTTCTATTTATTTTCCCTTTTTCTTTTCTTTAATTAATTAAAAACCTAAATTGAGCTATTCTTTATAGAAGTTAATATTCTTTATTTATTAAAACAACTAATTAACTCAAAACTAAGTAAAAATACTAATTTCTAAAGACTAAAAGCTAAATATGTAAATATGACTATTTTTTGTGATTTTTTCCTTAATAATGCAATTAACTCAATGTAATTAATTTCTACATGTAAACTGAACCTAAGATGACATGAAATTAAATTTGACAATTTTTATGAATTTTTTTATGAATTGAAAATATTAAAAATGCATGAAATGCAACTAAATAAAGAAAAACTACTAAAATCAATTAAAATTATTTTTGGTCTATTTTTAAGAGTTGTTTTCATGTAGGGAAAAAATTAGGTGCTCACACCCACCTCAAGGTCGAAGCTTCCTTCTGAGTTATGTCCAGCTCAGCCTGAAGGTCCTTGAGGGCCCCGTCCTGTTGCTCTTTGAAGAGCTTGAAAATGTCCTTTTTCCGGGCTTGCTCCTTAATATCGAACTCGAGCTGGCTATTTTGAAGCGGTACAAGAGGAAGCTCTCATGGTGAAGTACTGAGGCCTGCAAAACAACGAAAATAGTAAGAGATATCGAAACCTAAGTAGAATTCAAGAGGGAGTATTGATGTTTTACCCGGTTCAGCGCCTGATGCACCTCATTGAAGAGACATGATGTGCCTACTCATTCATCTTTTCCATGTCCTCCTCAGTCACCAGGCATCGGAGGTAGCTGGTTATGCCCACCAGAGCAGACAAAACTCGAGCATCCTTCGTGATCGTAAGAATAACTGTTCTCTTGCGACCGGGGGTCCACACTCGGGGTAGGAATCTACTTCACCAATTTTGGGCTCGAACTCAGCCCGTCAGCTTTCGAAGACACATTCTTCTTCGGTGCCTCCAGGTCGCCCAACCCGGAAAAGTCTTCCAAAGTGGATGAATCCACTCCATTGAAAAAGGAGTGAAGAGGGTCGTCTGAGCCATGAACTCTTTCACTTGACTTCTTTTTTGTTGCTCGGGCATCATCAAGCATGGACTCGATGTGGAGGGCATCTCCATGATGTCTATTACACTGGTCGCCTCCTTTAGAGATGAAGCGGCTTCTCGGGAGGTCTCAACCCCGATCTCCATCTCGGCCTCTCCAGTAGGAGGCCTCATGGCTCTTCCCCTCGATTGCCGCCTGCTTTCCGGCAAGGGTCAATTCGTGAGTAACAAAAATATGGGAGCTTGATTAGTCCCCCTCAGAAAATTCAGGGACTCTATAGACGGAGCAGGTGGTCGAGGGTGAATCGAGGAGACTCGATTTTATTCACAAAATAACGAAGGAGGATCATGATCCTCCAAATAGATGGGTGGATTTGCCTAAGGCATGCCTCGTATCTCTTGCAAAAGGCCAAAACAACTAGGTCTACCGGGCCAAGTGTGAAGGGATAAGTGTAGACTCTTAAATACCCCTCCACATGAGTGGTGATATCGTCCTCAGGCCCGGGGACTACAATGTCCTTACCTCCCCAGTTACAGTCCTCTCGGAAAATGGGAAGGGTATCTTTGGTGACAGAATATATATCTCGATGCCCCTTCACCTCGGTCTTGTTTGGACGAGGCCTTCTCGACTTTGAAGTCATCTAGGATCGAACAACCCCCAGGAATAAAGCTTTTCATATGGGGCTCTAAGGCCGCTTTGGTGGCAGCCACTTCAGGAGCAACCACCTCGGGAGTAACCGTTTTGAGAACAACCACTTCGGGAACGACCTCCTCGGTACCTACGGATGGATAGGAAGATGAAGAGGTAGCCTGCTGAGGAACTAATTTGGAAGTCATGGCCATCGTGATGTGAGAATAAGAGGATTTGAAAGAAACATATGAAGGTTTGAAGGAAAGGATATGAAGGTTTGAAGGTAGGATGGAGATCTGGGTAGAAACTTAAGAACAATTATGAAGATTTGAATATCAAAGGTAAAGATATAAAGATTTAAAAGAGTTGGCAGCTGCTAGGGAATTCGAAGATAAAAGCTAAGATCGGAAAGTGGAAGAAGTACAAAAGGTCAAAGCTTTTATAGGAGAAAATATAATCATTACGCAATGTTTCATATTCGAAGGCGACCAGTCAATGGTTGACATGTGTCCAAAGTCAGAACAATGCGATTGATGGGACGTTTTGGCTTCTCTGTCATCTCGGTTGTAACGTACGAAGGAAGGAACCAAGGTAAATCTATTGTTTCCTATTGTTTCGGTAAACCTACTCTTTGAGACACGAGGTGGCTATCTATATATAGTTAAACTTGGGGTCAGCACACACCCCGAGTTCTCGGTGAGTCACACAAAGTACAAATGTATGAGATAGAGACCGAATCTAAGAACTTTTTGGTTTGAGGCCGGGACAGGGTGCTCGCCGCCGAGCCTGATAAGTCAACATCCCCCGAACCCGAAATGAGTTCCAAGACCTCGGAAAGCATTACAAATGGTTGCACATGACTAACATAGGGCCGTGATATCCGCACCCGACCGGATACCACAACAAGGATCTCGCTCGATACTGATAGAGTATCGGTGATTGGTGTACAAGGAGAATTTTTACCTTTTTTAGAATTGTAATAGGGGTAAAACTTCTCTACTATATAAAGGGGAGGTTTCTTATTCAATACACATATTGTAACACGCATATCAAGACAATACAAAATTATTTCTCTATTTCCTAGCTATTGAAAGGTTCTTATATTAATCATAGTTCTTCATACGTATTTAGCTTTGAATCGAGGGTCGGGTCGAGGGAAAAATTATTGTTAAGCTAAAATCCGAGCCCGGACTCAAAGTCACAACTGGTTTGATTATTTATCTCATCTTTAATTCGTTTATCTAACATTCTCGATTACTTGTGTTGAATCAATCACATATCCTTAGAACCACATACAAATTTAATTGTTATCCATTTTAAGGGTAAAAAATATAAATAAATAAATTAGAGTTTTATGAAGTTGAAGATATGTTTGGACTGTTGCAATTTTATTGAAGATTTGTGACTGTTATAAGATAATAGAGCATGGTAGGCAGCAAAAGAAAAATAATTGCCATATAACTTATTCAACATTCGGATGCAGTGTTAACTATTAACTAAAACTCAATTTGTTTAAATTTGTGTGAATCGATTTTTTTAGGAATAACAACAACAACAACCCAGTTGTAACGACTCGACCGGTCGTTTTAAGAATTTATGCCCTGATACCCTATTAACTGCTATCCCCATGTTTATTTCTACTATTTTGATTTGCCGGGATGTTCGGTTTTGAGTTTCGGAGAGCTTTGGGACACTTAGTCCCTAAATGAGAGTTTAAGTTTTGGAAATTTGACCGTAGTCGGAACAGTATGAAGATGGACTCGGAATGGAATTCTGATGGTTTCGTAAGCTCCGCTGGGTGATTTCGGGCTTAGGGGCATGTTCGGATTGTGTTTTGGAGGCCCGTAGCTAATTTAGGCTTGAAATTCCGAAAGCCGAATTTTGAAGTTTCCGGTTCGATAGTGAGATTTTGATCTGAGGGTCGAAATGGAATTCCGGAAGTTGGATAAGTTCTGTAATGTTGAATTTGACGTGTGTGCAAAATCTCAGGACATTCGGATGAGGTTTGATAGACTTTTTGATCAAAAGCGTAAATTTAGAGTTTGGGAGTTCTTAAGCTTGAATCCGTGGTTGATTCGTCGTTTCGATGTTGTTTTAGGTGTTTTAAGGATTGGTATAAGTTTGGACAGTGGTATTAGACTTGTTTGTGCTTTTGGTTGAGGTCCCGGGGCCTCGAGATGATTTCAGATTGTTGATGGAAGGATTTGGAATTTGGAGTTGCAGCTGACGCTATGACTGCTGTCATAACTGCATCTGCGATTGAAAGGCCACAGGTGCGACTCCCGTAGATGTGGAATCAATCCGCAGAAGCGGCCAGATGAGGAACGGGCAGGAGCTGCAGAAGCGGGAGATTTACCGCAGAAGCGGTACCGCATCTGCGAATGGGGAGTCGCAGGTGCAGAAAAGGCCGAGTTAGTGATTTGTTGCAGATGCGACCATTGGTTCGCAAAAGCGGGACCGCACCATGACCGCAGAAGCGGATTAGCTGGGGAGAAACATATAAATACTTGCCTTCAAGAATTTGAGCTATTTTCACCTCTTTTCAAACGGGAAGAAGCCTTGGGGAGCATTTTCAAGAGAGATTTTTAGAGGAATTCATTGGGGTAAGGTCTTTGGTCCCTAAACTCGTTATTGGAGTGATTGTTTATCATTATAAGTATGAAAATTTAAGAAAAATCAGTGGTAATTTGGGGGTTAGGGCTTCATTAATTAGAGCCCTTTGAGTAATGATTTGAGGGACCATTTGAGGTCCGATTTTGGTACTTTTGGTATGACTAAACTCGTGAGAGTGTGAGGATTCTAGAAATGTAAGTTTTACCCAATTTCGAGATATGGTACCGAGGGGAATTTTGGTTATTTTACCTAATTTTGCGTATTTAGCTTAGAATTTCTTTGTAGAATCAGTTACTTGAAGTGTTATTTACATTATGCAATTGAATTGAATAGATTTGGGCCATTTGGAGTCGAGTACTCATGGCAAGGACATGGTTTCGAGTTGATTATTGAGCCAGTTCAAGGTAAGTGGCTTGCCTAACCTTGTGTGGGGGACCTTCCCCTTAGGATTTGGTATTATTGATAATTGAAATGCTTTGTACGTGAGGTGATGAGTGTGTACTTGTGCTAATTGTTGAAAATCCAGTTTTCATTAAGTAATTACTAGTATGTTTCCTTTTCTTGTTTATATTACTTGCAATT